ACGGCTCAAAATAAAACAAATTGGACTAAGAGGACTTGGCTCACAGCCAAATTGATGCAGGTGAAAATGCCAATTCTGGTGACGTGCACACCACTCCGCACCATACGTGCTTTTTTGTGAGGATGAATTACATCTATGCTGGTTCGACAATAAATGGTTGAAGGATAAATAAATAAACATGCATACTGTACGCTGCATCCATAAATCTGCACGAGATAATTTAGCCCAGAAAGAGTCAAAATGATGGACTGTGTTGGTAATCACATGCTAAGCAAGTGTTATGGAAATGACAAACACTCACACACACACATACACACACACTAGAGAACATGTCCACTCTCCGAGCTTGTGATTTGAGAAATGGGTCAGATGTGACTTAGATTTATGTATGTTTGTCTTTGTGGTTTGGAGGTGTAAATTTGTGGTTAACCAAAGCGCGAGGGAGTGACTGATTGAGCTCCATTGTGGATGTGGCAGAATGCAGATGTTTCTCTGAACTGCCTCGCTATGATTTAATGATGAAAAGCAGAAGGCAGCTGACTTCGGCTCTGGAGAGGCAGCAGGAGCAGACTACGTCAATATAAGAGGCAGAATCAGATGGGGGAGATTTTGATTTATTTGTCACTTTTTATTTAAGTGTTGCTTACAGAAACAAGTCTGCAAACTCTTTTTTATCTTTGTCTCTTTCTTCTTTTTTAAGCAGTCGGAAAAGCAAGTTTTTGAGGATGTCAATGTCATGAAAAAAAAGAGCCCTGTCTGACTGAGGTGTGATGCACTTCATCCCAAAGGAATGCTTGGATGTTATGTCGGTGTCTTATCATCTGCTAATGTTTTACCTGATTTGATGTTTTATGGAATGTTACAGCCTGTCAGGGCTGTGCAGAAAGGCTGCGGGGAATATAGTGCGACACCAAAAACATGATGAAAGATCAAGACCGGCATAATATATTAGTTTATTTAGCGGTTAAAAGCATCTAATAAGACTCATCTTTGCCATTCTGTTGTTTCAGCAAGTACAGTAATAATAGTGCAAAGCTGTAAGATAGAGAGGAAATGACAGAGAAAGAAAAAAAAATCAATCAGCATGACCACGTGGAACAAAGACGACAATCATGTCTGTGTGGCCTTTATTGATTTAAAAAGAATGTGTATTTTCAAAGGTGGCCAGTAGATGGCACAGCACCTTTGGTGTCCAAGGGTGAGAGAAGGAGCACGACAGAGAAAAGAGATATTTCTGTGAGTTTTGTTTTCCTGGTTGACTGATCTCCCTCAGTGGTCTGATTGTGAGAACGAACTCATGGGAAGTGTTCTCTCACCGCAGGTGTCAGACTGCTGTTGGATAAGATTATTTGTGGGGGTGATGGGGTTGCATTATTGTGTGCGTGTGTGTGTGTGTGTGTGTGTGTGTGTGTGTGTGTGTGTGTGTTCTGCTCATTAAATGTCTGCCTGATAGAAATGTAGTGTTATATTGACTTCATGAGGGAAACAATACACTACAGAAGTTGTTTCTGACTCTCACTGTGCTCCATATGGCCACACTCAGGAGGAGAAAGGGAAGCAGAGAGGGAGCAAGAGAGCGCTCATAATTCCTTTTCCTATTTGTTTTCTGTCGCACAAAACCAAAGTTGTATCAGCTTTCTGTTCTGTGGGATTGAGTCTTTACTGCACATTGATTCGGTGTATCTCACCCACCGATAGTGATTTTCAACGGTGTTGACAGGAGATTACAGTAGGTGTTGTACTATGAGAAAATAACTTTATCCATCGGTTATTTTTGCCCTCCGGTCGCAGATTGTTCTATGTCGTATCAAAAAAAGTTGTTGCTCCTTAAAAATGAAAATGCAAGCTAGATGAAAATAACTGATGGACATTTAATGAATACATCATCTTGCTACTATTTACTTTTCCAAAAACTAACATTGATAATAATACTCATTGATTGCACTGCCCCATTTAGAACAATAGTTGTCATTGCCTCCTGTCAGATGTCACATGTGGTATCCTTTCTATGAAGGGCAAACGCCACTCTTCAGAATTCTGCAGCCTTGCTGGAATTTAAACCCCCGCAGAAGTAAAGTGCTGCAATTCTGCTTAGTGTTTGTTTAAGTGTGTTTGGTCAGGCAAATTATAAAAACAAGCGGATAATAAGGGTTAGCAGCAGTGATAAGCCATAATATCTTGTAAACTGGCAGCGGGGATAGTTTAAGCCGGTCTTATGCTAATGTTACTTGTGACTGTCAGCAAGAGAGAAATACAAATATCTTCAAACATGCTTCAACCCACAAAAAAACTCTAGTGCAAACACAAACAGACAACATAGTTAAGAAGTATATGCAAAACTAGGCTTTTTAAAAAAAGTTATTAATTATGTATAATTATGCTTGGAACAATATTTAGCAAAGAAATCTAAATAATTGCATAACAATGGCTTGTACAGTATGGATGGATTAAATGAATAATTGAAACCTGTGCTGCTTCGCTGAGGCAAACCCCAGAATGGAATCCAACAATCCAAATCAAAGGACGTTACATACAAAGTCATACCGCTTCAATTCTTGCCTTCACGTCTCATGTATATTTGAAGACCATTTTGTATTATCCCATTTGTCGTTGTGATTAACTGACAATTAACATTGCTGTTCCTTTCCCTTAGTCTTCAGTCGACGGCGTGATAGTTTCCGTCACACTGTCCGCTGCATTTCCTGTTGTGTTCACTCGCCCCGTGCATTAATCAGTGTATTCTCTCGAATGTCTTCATACTGATGGACACGCACTCTTCATCCTGGCGTGAACCTTTTTTTAGAAAAGCTTACATAAATTGTACATCACTCCAAATGTGACACCCTCCACACTTTAGTGGATAAACACCATGTTTACAATAGACTTTGATCATCTACATTTCTTTAAATCAGGCAACACACTAATCCAAGTTTGCCAATCAGATAAATACTATCCATAGTAATTGTATGTACAATAGTTCTAACTGTAATTTGTCTAAAAGCTGCCAGTGTCGGTACAGCTAGCCTAACACTTCGAGGGAAGTCCAAAGAAGGAGATGGCTCGCTTGCCCAAGGCCACGTTCTTCGTTCGAGAAAAACAATTAATTAACTCCAAACATTAAAAAAAAAGTTTTGTCTCACCCTTTGGCTTTCCTGGGTTGATTTAAGTGTTTTGAACACATAGCATGCCTCACCTCACGTGAGCATATTACATCTCCTAATAAGGATACTTTAGCTGTCACTCAGACAAACAAAAGAGAGAGCGCCGTTAGAGCCCCCCCACATCCCCAACCCCCCCCACCCGTTATGTCATCTTCATCTCAAAATGCCACATCTGATCAGATGCCCCTTTTATAATTACTACCGGTGACATTTATCCAGATTTATACTGTTTTACAAGACCTTTCAATTTAATTGTACTTCATTCTGCACTTTCAGTTGTCCTTGGAGACTCACAATGTGAAGCAATTTGGGGAATATACGGGACCTTTTGCATTTGCAACACATTTCTGTTTAGAAGGGCATATAAATAGCTAGTATAAAAATAAGTATAAAAGTTAAATCCACCGTGACGAAGCATTAACGACACCGATGCAATACACATAACTGTCATTGCCTGGGCTTTTGTAAAAAAAAATGTTTTTGTCAATTCATTGTGTCTATAATCTGAGTATTATCAGTGTCATTTCCACACCGCTGGGCGTGTAAGGATTGACATCTTCCTCCAGCGTTGTTATAGCAGAACGCTTTAGTAGAATGTAAGGTGCAGATTAAGAGCTTTGTCTATCAACCTATCGATCTACCTATCTATCTATCTATCGGTCTTTCTCTCTGTCTAGCTAAATCATTCATCCCTCATGAAAATTGAACTCATGCACTTACATCCGAATCCATCTCTTGTTTCTACCCGTTGCCCCCAACCCCTGCCTCCCTAACCACCCCCTTTTTTTTTCTTTATACACTTTTTGGGCTTAATTGAATGTTGCATTTTTCTGGAGCAGCTCTAAAATACATAATGAGGTAATTTGCATTAGACTGCAGATTGGGTGACCTTTGCTTTTGCCAATAATTACTGTAAAAGCCGTCTCTGTCTGTCATCACCAAGGATGTGGCGGGAACCTCTCTGTGCTCACGAAAGGTTAGCTGGAGGCTTGTGTCTGGACTTATGAAAAAGCCGGAGGAAAATGTCATTAGAGCGAGGGGAAAAGACACTCGGAATTAACAATTGGAAATTCAATCAGGGATGGCTTTAAAGATGGCTTGTGTCTGTGTGTGCGTCTGTGTGCGCGTTTGTTACCATGCCTATATCCAACAGGAGTGCTGCGCGACTTCAATTTGTGTTTCACACATTTAGGGAACAAAATTCCACGTGGGAGAGAGTGTGGATTGTGGGGAGGAGGACAGCCCGGGGGCGACTTCTGTCCAACCCTTCAGGCCTCTTTGACAGCACACACACTAGACGATTGGGGTGTGAATGCCCCTGAAGTAGTCCTTACAAACATGACCAATATCAAGACATTTCCTGGCGTTTATTAAATATCGCTGATATTAGATTACAGTACGAATCACCCGTGCGTTGATAAAAGGCTCACCAATTTGCACTTTTCACCTTGCTCAATTTTTGTAGCAGAGCATGATTTTTAATTTGCATGCAGTTACTGGTTGTCATTGTGCAGTGAAACGTGACTGTATTCACCATGTGTTTCCTCTCCTTCCATTTGATAACGCGGTCAAAATAGACATTTTATTCTGCAATCATTCTCACCTTCTGAAACGGGAAATTAACTCTCCCATTCACCGATGCCTCCCTGAATACATTTTACATCGCTCACGCAACCGCTTAAGGGCTGCTCAGTTCACACTGCAATCCCGATCAGTGTGTCGAGCACGAGCTCGCCTATAGCTCAGTGTTAAATCACAGTGTTAGAACGGGACAGGACTTTGAGGGGGGCAGAGCAGAGCACTAACATCAGAGGCTCTGTTTTGTGCTCTTGGTTCTAGTCGCAGCGGCGAGTCACGTTTCACCTGCCGGACGGCTCTCAGGAGAGCTGCAGTGACAGCGGTCTGGGCGACCACGAGCCTGTAGGCAGTGGCACCCTCCTCACACAACCTCTCCCTCTGGTGCAGGCGCAGGACGACTTCTACGAGCAGGCCTCCCCCGATAAGAGGACCGAAGCTGACGGAAACTCTGATCCCAACTCTGGTGAGTTGCAATGATGTGTCATGGTACCATTGCTGTTTAATAATGAATGCTTGGTCTGTTTCTTTGTGATCTCTTGCTTTCTCTTTGGCAACATGTGTGTGTGGCGCCGTAGGTGTTTTGAATAGTTTCAATTTCAGTTACTGGACATTGTGACTCAATTCTCGGATTACCGTAGGGAAGAAGGTGAACGTGATTGGTGACTTGAAGTGCGGGTTGAAGCAAATTAATTGTGATTTAGATTTTGTTTCTTCAGGGACTGAAACTCCTCGAGCTGAGATCATGAGCAGTCCTGAAAAACAACACCGGACTCTATAAAGAATTCAACGTAGAAAATAGCATTTAATTTGGAGTCATTTGATTGCCCAAGTAGGTTTCTAGTGGATACAGGAGCAGGTCATTCATTTCTCAGTTAATCATCCAGACTTGTTCTTTCCTCCTAGGAGCAAACCTGGGCCTCCCAAAGGCGCCTCACCTATTTGTGAAACTCATTTGATTTATTTAGAGATGATTTCCCAGTTGGAAGTCTTGGTGCTCAGCTGAAGATGTTAACTTCCCACCATCTCTGGTGGGAATGTACATCTCCGACCTAGTTTTCCCATTTTATCATTAAGAGGTGAACCGTGCGCCAAGATGGAGCGCATTGCCCCAAGGTCGAAACCGGCTCGCCCGCTGAGGGTGGAGCAGCGAGCACCGCATACATACAAGTGCTGTGCGTAAACTGTGCGTTCCTATGATTTCATCCCGACTTTAAGGTAGCAGATGTACTTTGCGAAGACCCACTGACTCGCTGTCTTCACAAATGAATGGAGCTGCACATGGAACAACTGCGTTGAGTTGTAGTAAAGCCCGCTGACAATGTTTTCTATATATTTATATCAAAATTATAATCAGCCAATACGAATGAATTGTACAAGAGTGTAATTTTATGAGTTTATATATCATATATTGAAATTTCAAGTGACGAGGACAGAGGACCGAAGCTAACTATAATTAAAAGTATTGCTAATATGCAAAAGACCTAATGAAACTTTATCAGTACAGCCAGTAGTCTTGAATATTGGCTTCAATTTGTGTATTTATATGTGTTTTATACGTGGAATCAGTTCAATGAAGTATAATAGCAAAAATCATGAAAAGCAAGCAAGCAAACAAAACCAAAACAACAACACAATTTAAGAATTAATAAACCAAAAAAGATGACACCTGTGACCCTTCAAACAGATTTAACTTAAAGAGGATATCACTGATGATTTATAAAGACACATCTCAGACTATTCTCTATAATTTAGATAACCCTATGGATGTGTATACTCATACATGCATGTATTTAAATGGTGAAGATAGAAGTAGTGGTGCTTGGATCTCTGTAGCTGCGTCCAGTGTCAAGCTGAATCAATGTGGAGCAACAAAGAACAAGCTCACACTTCACAAGCCCTGATGCAATCAACAGGACGGGCACAGATTCCTCTTAAGTGATTCCACTACATGAGGCATATTTGTGTTTCCCTAAGCAATGACATTATTTTTTCGTTGATGTGTTTTGCCTGTCAGCAAACTATTGACAGTGACAACCGTGGTCCTTCGTCATTGACCTGCTGCCTGGCGTTGTAATGATTTTATGTCTCGCGTATGAGCGATGTGTTACCTGCTGGTGGCGCTCTCAAATAGACAAAGTCCGTGGTCCCGGGTTAACTAGTTCTGAGTGAGTCTGTCACATTTGAAAAAAGAAACATGACTGCACAATCCAACTGAGAGCCTGGTGACACCGTTGTGTTCCAGGATGACGTGTAAAGTATGTTCTAACGCGTTTGCCAACAGATGCCATTTTACACGAGGACGTTGACAAAGGGTGGTTGTGTTCAAGGTTTAGCAATACTATAAATATTGCATTTTTATCTGACATGGTGCAACTTCAAAAGCAACTCTTAAATAAATCACAATGTAAAAGAGTTATTTAATTATATGTTTGCAGCCTTTGCTCCAATTTTTTAGGAGAATATTGAAAAAAGAGTTAGTCTTCAGATCGGGATGAGCAGTATGTTGGCCTCCTGATAATTGTAATACATTATTTTTTTTATTTTTTTTCATTCAGTTCTTTAAGATTTCAATACAGAAGTTGTTAGGCCAGTGCGTAGGTTGTGGCTTTCATCTGAAATAAAGAAAGGTGTAGTGTGGGAGTTGTGACCACCAAGTTCATGAGTAGATGTTTTCTCTGCGACATGAAGTTATCCTTGCAGCTGTACAACTTTAAAAAAAGACGAAGTTTGTAAACAAAACATAAAAGAAAAGAAATCAATTAAACATGTGCCGAAAAAATCACAACAGATGGTAATGAGGGACACAGCAACTTCATATTGCTCAGTGAACAACATGAAACTCCTTTGTGAAGACAAAGGCGAAGTTGACAGTAATATATGATCGAGTGGTGAGCAACTTTGTTGACTGAGGTGACAGAACAGATGAGTAGATTTGGTTAAGTCCACTGTGATAGATTCAGCAGCTGCTCTTGTCCTCGAACGGTGCAACAATTGATGTTGAGAGCAGGACTCTGGCGGTATTTCTGTGAAATGGCGTCCTCAGCAGAGAACGCTCCGCCTCTGTGTGTGTTTCCAATCCAAGCTTCTACTTTTTGCCACATCTGCCAGCAATCATAACAAAGAACGGTGAAATTAACACACATTGCATCGCAGAAATTGACGTATTTGATGGGCACGTAGTCATGGATGTTATGGTGGTATAAGTTTGCGATATTCTGTTGGTTGTCTCATGAAGTCTTAAGGAACCGCTCCGTCAGGCGTGATAGTAACTTGACAGCAGCGCATCAGAACTCAGAAGGAAACCAGCTGCTTTCGGGTTGTTGAAAAAAGTCATGAAAGAAAAGTGAAGACCTGCAGCAAAGACTGCTACCTGTCTCCAATCACGCAGGCTCTAGAGATCCCTCACACCTCAAATAGACTAATTGGAATCAAAGGGTTTTGCGTGAGATCACATATAGGCTTGTTAACAAATGTCCAATAAATGTAAAAAAAAGAGTTGGTCCCGCTTTGGCACGTAGTCAGTCACCAAAATACCAAACCGGCAGTATCCAGGAAAATAACCTCTGACAATCCCAGGCGTCCAGCAGCCGGGGTGCTGCTTTGTTCTGGGTCAGAAGGACGGTAAAAGCCTCATAATGAACTTATTATAATGAGCTTTGTGTCCCTCTGCATAAGGAAGGGAAATTCTTCTCGGCAGCTTTTCACCAACAGAAGTCGATCACATAAGCAACCAAGTCCCATATTTACCATATGAATGCATCTTTTGGATACAACATCATTCTGTCATCAGTAACAAATAACGAAAAATAAAATAAATAGATGACGAGGCCGCTGAGGTCTGTCAGATTGCTTGCGCATGGAGGGGAGTACCTAGACTACAAAGAAGCTGAAATAATACATGACAGGAGAGTGCCCAGAATAAACAGAGAGGAGAAGAGGCTGAGGCAGGGAAGTCATGTTTATTTATAAAACATTTAAAACACCCATTATTGACTAAAGTGTTACATAAATTATTTAAAAAGCATGGTGGACAAGAAAACACAGGGCCATTGGATAAAAACATCGCTTGCACAATCACAAACACACACACAGAAAAGCAAATAGAAATGGACTGAGACGTAATGTGAATGAGTTGTTCCGCGAGTGATATAATAAGAAAAGCTTGTTGTCCAACAGCCCTTAAGACGATGAAACAACCAAGAGCCCCATGTCTGATGACCTGAGAGGTCTTACGGAACAATGCCATCAGAATCATCAGAAACTATAAGACCACAGAATCTTAAAAGAAGAATCTTGAAGAAAGTAATTGTTATCCAAATGTGTATGCATTTGTACTCATGCAATTGCAGTCACATACCAATGAATCATTTCTTAATGCCTAAAATAGCCAAACATATGGACTAATCCTGTATCATGTACCGTACCGCAAGTTAAACTTCTACTATAGGTTTTTTTGTCACGCCTTTGCAAATAAAGCTTATTATTTTCAGCGCAGCACATATTGGCTACAGTAGGTCCCGTTGAATTTGTTAAGAGGAAAAGCACGTCCATGTGTGTGAACAGGTCAATAAGACAAAGTGGGTATGTTGCAGTTGCTGACTTGTTAACTTAGAGTATATCATCTATTGTGTAGTGTGCAGGTAATAGAAGCCATTGGTTAAATATTGTCATTCATTTGACACTTTGATACAAACAATTTGATGGATTGATTGATTGATTTAATGTCCTACGATTAAATGGGCTCTTGAGCAGTGTGATGTCGTTAGGGTTAGAGCCTTTTTATCGTTTATAGCCTAAACACAATCTTGCTGGATGTCAGGGGCTGTGGCATTTGTCGCCATCATTGGCGAGATGAATTAAGGGGAGAAATGCTCTCTATACAGATGTATTCGTTTTTGACACTGATAGCAAATTGACGTGAAACTCTGCTAATCAGACCATGTAATGTATTGAAATTGAAACGATGATGTTAATCTTTAACAACCGGCAACACGAGTTAGTGTTAGTGGATATAATCCCGGAAATGATCTCAGTGGAGGTGGAAAATGAGGACAGTCTGGAACTGGAAAAAATAAAGTAAGTTGTGACTGAAGTAGCTGGCAATATCTTGAAAGAGCAGGTAGGAAAGAAATCAAATGTACGAAACGGCAGACAAAAAAACGGTAGCCTGCAGGGGATAGCAGGAAAAAAACTCACGTTAAGTCAAGTGAGACCCTGTGGAGTTTCATAATTATATATCTTATCCATTCATTCATCTTCTCAAGAGACAAAATTAAGCTCTATATGTTAGAGTAGTATTCTTTTTTGGTTGTGTAATGTCCACTATCATATTGATCCATACTACAGCTTTCGTACTTTTCCCCCCTCGGGTCAGTGAGACTCTCTATTAGTGTTAACACGTAGTTTAATAAATTACTTTTTTCAATTTCTCACAGATCAATGGCACAACAGTCTGATCACATT